AAAATTTGGGGTTTTTTTTTTTTAAAAAAGGTCCGTTTAAAATCTATAATAAACTTTCACTTCCGCCTATCCCCTTTAACAATTAACAAAACCCACCCCCCCCCCCCCCCCCCCCCCCCGGGGACATGATAAAAAGAAAGAAAAAAGAGTCGCATCACGATGATTATTCCAACTTCAGATGATAGAGAGCCCGGTCTACTAGAACTCCAGAGTTCACTGTTGTACTTACACCTACGACGAGTAGGTAGGTAGGTACCCAGGTACTAGCCAATGAATTTTCAGAGACTCGGTGAGTGATAAATCTCTTCAAGGCTCACTATACCTTTTGTGATACTATACTCGTATTATCAAGATTCAAGAGTATTTTCTTTTCGCTTAATTTACGCTATATCTCATCATCCGTGCATACCACTATAATCTCCTGAACCACAGAAACACTTTACTAGGGACAACGGTCACGCTAGGTAATTAGCTCATTAAAACTGCCGACTACATGGCAGCCGTTGCCGTTGCGCTATGCCCTAAACCAACGGCAACATACGAGATAGCTTCGGGGGGGCGTTGAAGATGGGATAGAGAGGCAGATGACCCACGAAGGCACAAGTAAGGAGAGGGCATAGCCGCATAGGTACGGATGGCTACCTACTCGTAGTCTGAGACTGGTCGAGACATGTATAAATAGCTGAAAGGGGGATCGTCTTTCCGAACTGTGACTCTCACAACCGGCAACACCACCATCATCTTCTTCTTCATACCTAGCTTATTCCTCCATCATGCTTCGTTCTCTAAACTCGTGCGCCCTCCTTGCTTTATTAAGCAGCTTGGCAAGAGTTGGAGTATTCGCAAAGCCTACAGCAGCTCTTGTCGCCGCAAAAGTTGCCCTGACTCTTCCTCCCCTTATCACCGAGGTCGTAACCACGACAACGACTTATCCGGCCAGCACTCCTACGACGTATACCTCGTCCGCGTATGATGTCGACTGTGATTGTTACTATTCCACCATATACTGGTGGACCCCCCATCCTTACCCCCACTATTCATACCAGACGTCGTCTTCTTCTTCTTCTGCACCAGCGACTACGACAATCACCGTCACCAGCACGACAGAGGTCCCCACGACGACCACTGTCACAGCTACCGCGACCGTGACTCAACCATGTACTCCAACACTGACCTGTGACAAGGTGAGAGAAGAAGACTTTCGATTCATACCCCCCCGCCCCCCTCGACACTGATTTCTTCTATTCCTTGCAAGAGGTAGGTAGCAACCCAACTGACTAACAGGGTTTATAGTACGGCTACCCAATTCAAAACGTCACCCTATTTCAAGTAGACCTCTCCACAGGTCGCTTCACCACAATAGCAGACCACTTAGGCGAAAACACAGGCCTCAACGCCATCGCCTATAACCCCTTAGACAACTTCCTCTACGCACACGAAGGGGCCTCCTACCGAGTCCTCCGCATCGGCTCAGACGGGACCACAACACCCGTAGCTACCTTGGAGCGGACCCGACCTATCAATGTCGGCGACATAGACTCGGAGGGGTACTACTGGTACGGCAGCGAGGGCGAAATCTGGCACCAATTAGACCTGTGACCGGGTTCCTCCACCTACGGCGCCGTGCTAGGCAGTGGTAGAATGGACAGTCTCGGCCTCACTATTGCCGACTGGTTATATATTCCCGTGGCTGGGCCGTATCTGTACACGGCTGCGCGGGTCCCGGGGGGCGGCGCAGCCCTCGCACGCTTCAGTCTCGAGACGAAGACTTGGCAGATTGTCCAGAGATACCCCAACCTCCGGGGTGGTCTCTTTGGCGCCGTCTATGGTATCAATAACGGGACGCTGTACGCGTCTGATAATGCAGACGGGCGTCTCTGGGCTTTCAATGTCAATGGTGGCGCACCCTATGTGGCTTCGCAGGGTCCGGTTTCGCCTGGTCTTAATGATGGTGCGAGGTGCGTCTTGAACTTGCAAGTTTAGGCTAGGCAGCCAGTAATTAGGTACCGTACTTGAGGTGGTGTAAGGTGGTCTTGTTGGACTTGGATTGCCTGCGGGATAGGTAAACAAGAAGGTGACCCCTGATCTTAATATGGAAATATACTTTACCTACGTAGTTACTATATGTAAATAGTGTTTATTAATTAATTCATCTACATACTTTCAATTCATAGAGAAAGGTATCTACTGTAGCTCAACACTTTCTTAATACCACTAAACCACTGATGCTGCTCTTCTTTCATGTCTTTTGAGCCGGTCATGTTGGCATCTACTCGTACATATCTCCTGTTGGTATCCACCTACACCATTTAGTTTAGGGTAGGATCTCTAGTCTAGGGGATGGGATGGGTTTATTTGCATTCTTAAACTTAACTTACCGGTTAAAGGATATGTGAATTTTTTGGTCTTGAAAAGCTACAGGTTGCCGGTTCCTTACCTTGGAGTGTATGTGCGATGGGCGCACGCATGCCCACTAGGAAGTCAGCTCGGTGTCGTCTGTTTGGATATCTTTTTCAATGACCTTATACTACCTAACCTGCGAGTCAAAGACGCTCATATTGGCCTGGGAATTAGACTAGCCTTATGAGACTTAAGAGTATTAGCCGGTTCGGGTGCAATCCGTTCTACCTCGCCGTGTCCCGGGTTGTCGAATTGGGTAGCATTTCATTGCCACAAGCTTGGCTTAAGAAAAAAACACTACATACGAGTTTCTTTAGGTCTTCTGGTTTAAGAACAGAAGGCTATATCAAGATGATTTATACTAGAATCAGTGAAAAGGTAGCCAACCAAAAGGGTCTCCTATCTACACATGTAGGAAGTAATTCGCTAGAGATAACATCATAACGTATCACGTCTTGTCGGTGACTCGTGCGGATGAGACTAACGGTGCGTACTTTACTTGCCGCGTACCATGCTTAAATATCTCAAGGGGTATAATGTGACACACGGCAAGCGCTTAAGCACCTAGTAGATAGCGTTAACAAACTTGATCGCTCAAGCTGCCTCCTTGTTGGTTATTCGTGCTGCTACCCCTTACGCTCCGCACCGCAGCCTTTCCCTTGGTGACTCACCAACTTTTGTTCACGGCCCAGCCCTTCCCATCCTCGCCGCGGTTAATTCTACTGGGAAAGTAATGCCATAATGATTGCGTGAACGACTGAATGCCACCAATACCTGCGCAACCAAAGATTATAGAAGATGCTCCGCCCGCGGTCGTCCTTGTCTGTTTACTCTTCGTACATATTGCTGCTGGCCCGTGTAATTCAAGCCTCTTTATATTTCAGTCCTGGAATTGGTATGTTCTCACTCATGTAGGTTAGGGTAGGTACTTTTCCTTTCGGTTTATATTCGTGTGCTTTACTAATACTTGAATTCCACCCCAGCATCTACCTACCTACCTCCCTATCTACTTTAGTTACTCTACTTATTGTAGTTACCAAACCAGGAATATTCTAGAAGGCAGCCGCAGCGAGCCACACCTAACGTTCAACGGGCGCTTAAATCGCGTTACGGGTGCTTTATCTCAACGTGTGTGAGTGTAGCAAGGAGCGCGCGGGCGGTTATTCGAAGCTGGTACTGGTGGACCGTGGTCCTATCATTTGGGCCCGATTTACCTACGGTAGATACTACAGGGCACCAATAGGATCGTCACGGTCGATGATATGATATAAACACATACCTAACCTAGATTACACACGTAGGGCGGCAAAAGGGGCACACAACCATCAGTTCAGGAAACGGGCACTCATAAAAAAACGGTTGCAGTAGAGGAAAGTCTCCCACGAACTTCTTTACCGAACCAGACTTTTGGTCAGGATGCGGGCGGCGGTACCTAGCTCGAACGGGAGCTAGTCTAGATAGTGCGGATCCATCGGCCGCATATTAAAAT